TTTTTTTCTTCTTTTCTTCTCTCTTTTTTCTTTCTTTCTTTCTTTCTTTCTTCCCTTGGTTTCTTCTTCTTTCCTTTTGGTTCTCTTGTTCTTACCGAAATTTAAGTGCAAGACTTCCCCTTTTTTTTCTTTTTTTGTATGCAAGACATGCCTTGCATGTTTTTCTAAGTGGAATCTTCCATCATTGCTTTGTATTTTATATACATATATGTGTGTGTATATATATATATCCAAAAATATTGATAAACTATTAAATTCATATTTCGGACCCTTAACCACTTCTTATACATACTAATACATTTTATTTTTATATCAATAACATGTCACATACTTGTCACCCGATTAATTCCACATTCGCTAATGTACATAAAATAATAAAGTCATGTCACATGTCAGCATTCATATTTAACTTTTCACACTTTAAATAAAACAATTCCCCTTATAATCATTCTTATTAAAATTGTCTCTGACTATAAAAAAATTCATCTTTCAGGTTCAGATCTCATATCATTACTCGTAATTAAATACTGGTTACCAATCCTACGCATACATGTCACACGTGAATATGCTTATTACAAAAATTATATGTTTGTCATGCATATTTGGTTCTTACAATTATAAATAAACGAATACTTCCATACATATTTGTATATCCACCTCAACTTTAATTTTGTTTTTTTCAAAAATTAAACCCAATTTTTATATCGATACCTATACCCAAACTCCCATATTCTTGACAGCTTACTTTTTAATTATCGAACCAAAATTACTATTCACATATAATTAACATATACACCCTTATATATTTTTCTCGAGTTCTTAACCCATGACTAAGTTTATCATCGAACTCATACTTATTTCCTTGTGTTTTCAACTATTTTAATTTTAAATCCAATGATTAAAATAAGTACTCGCATCTATACCCCCAACACAAAATAAAATACCTAATTAGTTGTTCAGGTCTCACAAATGGACCCTTTTTATATGAGGCCCACCTCTCACTTAACAAATGTCCACCCTAGTTAACACCCAAAACAAAAGGTAAATTTAGGCAGAAGGTCCTTCACCCCCATCAGTAGGCTCGGCGGTGGCTTCCCTGACAACATCTTCAGGTTTTGACCCCTCGATCTCCAGCATGAAGGAGTCCAGATCAAGGTCAAGATATGTCCTCTCCACTTGGTCCTAAAATTTCATGAAACTCTTCACAAAGACAGAAACGTTCGCCTTAAGGAGCTTAATGATGTTCTCATTCATGGACCTTAGCTCAGCCTCCTTTGCCTTTAACTCCTCATCTTTAACTTTCAGCTCAACGTCTTTTCCCTTTATAAAATCCTAATAGCGGGTGTCCAGGTCATCACAAACCCTTTTTAACTCAACCACCTCGGTTTCTAGAATAACAACCTTCTCCTCAGCCAAACCCTTCCCCTCCTTAGCAACGTGAGCAAAATCTAATGCACTCCCTAGCTCGTGCTCTTTTGCAGCCAGATCAGCCCTGAGCTGCTGCTCGGTAAATTTGAGCTTCTCCAATTCTAAGCGCAAGGGAGCTTGCTTGGAAGACTGGCTAGCTAGTTGGGACGAAAGGTGATCATGATGGAACTTCATCATCTTGATGCATGCCAAAAACTAGAAAAAGGAACATAGTTAGCATAGATAAGAAATAAGGGGAACCAAAGATGATATTCAAATAGGGGTGGTGAAAGTGCATGATACCTTAGCCAAGCCCTGGATGGTATGCTTGGTCTTCCTCATGAAGTTAACCTACATAGCTTCCTCGGGGTCTTAGGTTGAGACTAGCTCGGCTAGGGTGTCCACAGTAGCTACCGGATAACACAGGAACCCACTGCCTTAGACAGTCATCTGGGGGGGTTTAGGTTCATTTTTTCCACTTCGACAGGTTAGCTAAGGGAGAGTGGGAGCCGCCCCTGGGAGCTTTGCACTTTTGGTCAGGGGCTTGCTCTTGGATGATGATTTGGTGGGCTCATCCCCTCCTACCTTGCGCCCCCTCCTCGATGGACGGCTCAGGAGACAAAGAAGGTGGAAAGGCACTCCCATGAGAGGTCATATCCTCACGCTTCTGCTCCAAAATAGCATCCATCGACTTAGATTCCTTCTGGGAAGGAAGCTTTGAAGCCTTCACCAACTTCCCTTTTTTTCTCTTTCTCTCATTTATGAAGGCCTCCAGGATGAGCTTGCGATCCATTTGATCAGGAGATTCTGCTAGCAACAATTCAGCAAATTAGGCAAGTAATGACTCCATTGGGGGATCGAGCATGTATTTAGCAAGGTTTGCCTCGGTTAACAAAGTCGAAAAGACTTAAGACCAAAAGCTTTAGCTAGAGCCACCCTATCAACCTCCATAACATCAAGAGTAGGATAGAAACCTTAAAAGCAAGCCACAAATCAGAATTAGAATCTCAGGAAACCCACAGCCACCATGCAAACATTTAGCCACATCCATTATGTGTGTTCCTAGGGACTCCCCAAGACCAAGGAATGGTGGAAAAGGTCACCAATCGCTCCTGATAACTCCCAGGAATCACCCCAAACAAAGAAGAACTTTGGTTTCCACCCTTTGTTGGAAGCAAGAAGCCTAGATACCAAACTCTTTGCCTTCACCCATTTGGCAAAATAAAAAAAGTCTAATGCCAGAGAATACTTGAGCTAAAAGAGGTGGGCAAATTCATGAATGATGGGTGGAGAGGTATTCCCACTCTTAAACCAGTGAATGAGAAAAACGATGAGTAACCCCCAACCATTTGGAGAAACTCAAGTTGGACACATATTGTAGAAGACAAGAATATCTCAAATGAAAATGGTGAACAAGGAATCTAATACTAGCGTAGAATGTTGAAACGAATAAACTGGCCATCCTAGGGACAATAGAGTTACATCTCTCATCATCCTTAGGAGAATGAAGTAAAACAGAAGCTGGCAAAGAAAACCCTTCCCTCAAAGCCTCTAGATCATCCTTATCGAGACGACTCGAGGTCGACTCAGCATAGTAGGTGAGGTCAGACAGGTCTCGTCAGACCTTCTTCTTATTGAAGGAAGAAGACGAAGCTCCCTTAAACCTCCTCTTCTTGGTATGACTTGAGGAAACAGGGGGCAACGCCAATGAAGTCTCAACAAAATGACCCGAAGTTGAAACCTCAGGAGCAGGCCCTAGATCTCCTTGAATCCGTCGCCCTAAGATGGAACTTGAACCTTTCTGCTAAAGTTAAGGAGAATTGGTCTCCCTCAACCAAAATGCTGCCACAAATAGGAACCTCCTCCCTAGCAGAGGGATAGGAGATCTCTTCCTCAACATGACCACTAGAGGAAGAAGCCGAAACCTCATTGGCATCCTCATCACTCCCCTCCGCGGACGCGGAATTGGAAGGGGTCCCAAGAACTACTCTCCCCATTAGTGGTTCAAATTACAAATCAAAGTACAAGGGGGTAGATGCGAAGTGTAATCCATCAAAAATAGGGGAACAAAACACCAAGATCTAAGTGAGGATAACCTCAATAAACGGGGATAATCTACAAATCACAAAAGGAAACCAAAACTACTAGAGTGAGTTTGGAAATAACTAAACCTCTAAATAATGAAACGAAACATGTAGCCCCATCAGGGAGGGTTAAAAGGATCCATATCGAAGGGAAAGAAGATAAGAACGTACCTAACCAGGAGCTAGGGTTGATTCGCAGAAGGATGAGAAGCCTAGAACTCTCAAAACCACTAGGAACCCGAAGTGGCCTCCTTAGAGTGTAGAGGAAAGGAAAAGGAGTGCAAAGAGACTGTAAATTTGAAATATCAGTAAAAAGGCAAGATGGGTTTCCCCTTTTTTATATGTAGCATTATTGACACGATGGGACGTGGAAAAAGAACGTGTAGAAGGAGTTGCATAGTAGAAGCTCTCCCCCAAGCAACGAGAGTCCTATCCTAGCATGTCTCTCTCATCAAAAGAAAGCACAGGGAAGTTAAACACATCGTTGAAGTAGTACCTGTAATTATTGGAAACCGTCATCCATAGATGTGCCATGACGATGGGAAAGACAATTTTAAGCCTAAGACAGGGTTGAGAGGTCATCCCCTAACCTGGGGTTGAGGGGGCAACTAATGATGATGGATTTAAGTATGGACCCCATTTTAAGCCCAAAGCCTCTGATGGGCTCACCAAAGATAAACCAAGCGACCCTTTTGGATGACGTCTTCCACATCCGAGCTGGACCACCACCCTACTCCATGAAAAGTCCAGGATCGTCCAGCTCAGACTAGTGCCTAGGTTGGTGATAAACGTTTGCTCGGGAGTTTTAGCTTGGTACCAAGCGAATTTGATATAACCCCGATCGCACCATGTGGACCGAGGATAGAGGGACAATGCTTGACAATTCTAATGAACAAATATTCCCTGATAAAGGGAATATCACATACATTCCGTTTTAAGCATAGTGGGTGTAGAAAACTTCAAGTTGGCAGACCCCGCTACAGGAAAAATGATGAGGGGACCACAAAATCAACTAGAAAGGGAAAAATTATAGAAACCCTATGACCAAGGGATATAAAATGGGAGACAAAGTCATTGTAAAGAAAGAGAACACCATAGACAACCTAAGAAATACTTTGCAAAGAGGCTCCCAAAAAAATCTTCTATAATCGCTACCTTCTTCTTCGAGCAATATAGTCGTCAAAGAACAAGAATATCCATTATAGTGGATGTAACCTTGGTCTTTTGACTGAGGCGAACCACTCATATCCTGGTCTTTCTTTAGCTTCAATTCTTAATTCCCTCACTATCTAAAGCATACACTAAGCCCCAACTAGGCCTCAACCCATCATGGTTCTGTAATTGGGTAAACAAATTTTGAGCACCATCAAATACTATAACTGCGAGTGGGGAAAGGAATTTGCAATTTCTCTATAGTAATCTTCTCTTCCACGACGATTTTGTATTAATCTTTGTTTTCTACATTTTCTTGTTGATTTAATTCGAAACCATATTGGGATTGGTTTGAAAATGAGTTCTCTACACGTGGATTACGTGATAATCGAGAAAGCAAACGCAGTTGCGAGGTATCGTCAGTTTCGAAAGATTGCGAAATTGTTCCAAATGTTTGAGATCATTGTGGCTCTAAGTTTGCTCTCATGGTTGACCACTCGGATTCCGGCAGTTATCAAAATCTCTGGTGAATATCTCATGAGAGTTTTCGTCTACTTATTCAACCCTCATGCCATATTTTTGGCCTCCGCCAGAAGATGACATACCTCACCACCAATACTTTATGCCTATTCAACAGCCTCCCCAACAAATGGCGCCTTGCGTCCACCACCACTCTCTGTACACAGATTCCTGATCTAGATACCATCGTTGTTCTCTCTCTATATTCTCTAAAGAGTTGCTCTTTCTGCTTTTGGAATCTATGTTGCAGTGATAGTGTCATCATTTTATCCACAAGAAGAACGATTACTCAAACTGAAGTGAATCTTTGATGCAGAATCTCCTCATTATAAGCCATTGATTGTATAGTTTAGTCTCATTCAAGTTGAGGCTAAAATGTACGTACGGTGGTCATTTTAAAAAATATTTAATTAAAATAAAATAAAGGACTAATCTTAACTTGTATTCTAAAAGGTTACTTGAATATCAATTTATACTCTCAAAATTTAAAAATATTAATTTACCCCCTAAAAAGATATAAATACGTATCAATGTGCACCTGAGATTAACTGCTGTCCATTTTGCCATTAAAAAAGTTTAGATTTATTATAAATTACACCATTCAAAGTTTAAATATTTTACATTTATGATCCAAAAAAAATTACATCAATTAATATTCGTTAAATAGCTCTCAATTGTATCATGTCATAACGTTTTCCTGTCGTGTTCGAGTCGATAAAAAATTATTTTTAACACAAAAAATATTTTTTTGTCGAGTTAATTCACATTTACGATAATTCATCTAATACTATTTAATATTTTTTAAAAATTAAAAAATACTTATTTTTTTGCCCATAATACTCATTAAATAACTATTTTCTGTCTACAGTTGTGTTATTCGTATTTAACTTAAATTTGATCGAACAATCGAAAGATTTGTGTCTATTTGTAGATAGAAAATAACTATTTAATGAGTATTGTAGGGAAAAAATAGGTATTTATAATTTTTTTTACTAACTCAAACACGACACGAAAATATTATGATACGATACAATTGAGAGCACTATTTAATGAGCATTAATGGATGAATTTGGATTATAAATATTTAAACTTTGAGAGGTACAATTTATAATTAGTCAAAATTTTTTTAATTGAAAAATGGATGAAGTTAACTTCAAATGTACATTAGTACGAATTTATATCTTTTATGATGTAAATTAATATTTTAAACTTTAAAAATATAAATTAAAATTTGAGTGATATTTCATAGTACAAATTAAAATTAATCCTAAATTAAATGATAAAACAATGTACTTTAGACTTACCCCTGTCACCTTAAAAAAATTTGCTTGCCTTTAAGGTCTTAAAAGACCTTAGACATTTACCAATTTTCACTCAAAAAAAAAATGTAGTGTATTCGGTATTACAAGTGAGCCTATTACTTTCCCGCTTGTTCAAAAATGTCATGTGAGACTGTGGACCCTACAGTCTCCCTGACTCCACTATACTTTTTCCATGTACACCAGCTGTAATCACACAATCCACGGCCCACAAATACCTGTGGTCCACTCATTACGAATACCCAAATCCAACGGTCTATATTTGCTCAACAAATTACACGCGTCAGTCCTTCAGTGTTAGGTCACCTCGCCCTCGAAGTGCTACAACAGATGCTCTTTCTTTGTCTCACTAACCCGGCAAATCCCTTTGTCTTCTCTTTCGTGTCCGAAAACACACACACACACACACTCTCTCTCTCTCTCTCTCTCTCTCTCTCTCGCTCTCGCTATGAAGTTTCACTCTCACGGACACACTTCCGGCACTCTCTCTATAAAACCTTTTTGCATCGATTTGGTCTCGATGTGGTTGCGAGTTGTTTGATTGGAAGTTTGATTCGATTGTCATCGATCTTATGTTTGGAATTTCTGCGGATTTTTTTGAAGCTATTTTTGATGATTGGGATGGTTCTGCTCAAGAAAGGTTGGCGTTTATAGCTTTTCCGAAATGGATAACAGTTGGCAGAGCAAATGTGGTTCGATGTGGTCATTTTCGACGCCGTCAATGGCTTCTTCGTCGCAGGTTCAGCCACTTGAATCTCGGAATCAGGTAATTTTTTTTTTTTTTTGTGGGGCTGATTGTATTGTTTGAGCAGCTGGTGATTGCGTGCATGCGTTTGGGTTTTGTTACGAATCGTTTTTATGTTGTGGTTATGAAGAAATTCTAAATATGGTTAAATTGCTTATCCTTTGCCTTGAACTGCTGAAATGATCTTATTTTTGACTATCTAATTAGATGGTGTGTGAATGTTTTTTTCTTTGTGTGTGTTCATGTGTGCATCTGAAATATAAATGTGTTTATTAGCTGGCATTGTTTGTACTAATGTTATAGGTCACTGACAACTCTTATTTTCGAGGGAAGTAAAAAAGTGGTGCAGGAACAATTTGGGATATAGTAAGGGGAGAGAATTGGCTCCTCCCGTATCTGTAAATGCAAATTTAGGCAATTTCCAATTTTGTCTTTCTTGGGTTGTACTCTTTAAAATGTGATTAATTATTTACCTCAAACTAGAATAATCAGCAGTGAAGAAAATGTGACTCGAAACTCTGCATTCTTGAATTAGATTGAAGTGTGCATTTTGAAGATTTCGGTTTGGTCCTATGATACATTTGAATTGAATTGCAGTGGAGTTTTCCATAACACAGGGTATAAAAACAAATGATATGTAGACAGAAGATATTTAAGTCGTTCATCTTTGTAAAGACTCTTTGAGAAATTCTCTATTACGGTGTGATAAGTGAGAGTTGTTGTATTGCATATATGGAGCTTGTTACAACTTTATCTGCCCATTCTAATGGGTATGTACAGTAGCATAGTTGCAGTAAAAAAACTGATAAGGATAAGAAGAGCTGCTATCTATCCCTTAAGCTACAAGAGATTTTTTCAAATTTAAATCTGTGCTATCACTACCCCTCAAACTTGGCCAGGGATCAAGATAAAGGCTGGGTTTGTTTCATAAATCCAAAAACGAAATTTTTGTGAGAGTCTTAGTGAAGATATCAGTCAGTTGATTATTGGATGAGACGAACTGGGTTTCAACTGAACCAAGCGCTACTTTCTCACGTCCTTAATGAAAATCCAACTCAATATGCTTTGATCGACCATGAAAAACTGGGTTAATTGCTTGTCATGCACTTATATTGTCACAATCTAGAAGAGGGTCATGAAAAGGAAAGGTTGAGATCACGCAAGCGGCCGTTGAGGTCATGGACCGGTATTCTACTTCGGCACTTGAATTTGCGACGGTAGACTATTCCTTAGCACTCCAAGAAGCACAATTATTGCCCAGAAAAGTACACATCAGTTGTAAAGTGAAGGCTAAAGAATAACCAGGCCAATTAGCATTCAAGAAGGCATGAAGATCTAGATTGCTAGAACTTAAGATACATGACCCAAAATAAGCAATCCTATTGATACAACACAAAATACGTTTAACAAGGTTGTAACGGGCCATGGTGGGAGGATGCAGGAGCATACAAAGTCAGCATTGTAGAAAATGTTGGGTCCAGTAAATGTAAAATATTGCAGCTAACCACTAATACTTAGCTAATATGTGGGATCTGGATACTACTCACTAGAAGAGGAAGGGATGTGGCCTTTAGAAGGCATTGGTATTGATATGGGTTTAGAATAATCCATAGAAACACGACCCAAGAGATCCATGGCATAACGAGTTTGAGAAATATAAAGACTTGTGACCCAATGAACTTCACTGGCAAGAACATGATGAAGAAAACCCAAGCCATTAATGAAAATATCGGGAACAAGTTGAGTGATAAGCCAAGTTATTTGTGGGGGATTATAAGCGGTGACCACTATGTCATTAACATATAAAAGCAAAACAAGAATTCTAGATTGAGATTTGTAGATAAATAAGTTGGGATATGCCTTGCTGCAATAAAATCTAAGAGTGATAAGTAAAGTACTAAGTTGATCCAACTAAGCTCGGGAAACTTGCTTGAGACAATACAAAGCATCGTTGATTTGGCATACATGTGTGAGATAAGACGGATCAGCGTACCATAGGGTTGTTTCATGTATACGGGGGTAGAAATTGAACCATGAAGAAATATGTTTTGGACATCAAGTTGCTGGATTTCACACCCTTTGACAATAGTAACGGCGAGAGCAAGGCGAATACTAACTAGTTTGATGACTAGAGAACAAGTTTCGGAGAAATCAATTCCATCGACTTAACTAAAACCTTAGGCGATGTGAGGAGCTTTGAGGCATTCAAGCTAGGGTTACGTGGATTGCGGGTCGGTTTGGTATGTGATATAGGTACGAATGCGAGGTACGTTAATTTCTCAGATGCGCACTATGGTGGGGATAGGCCTAGTTGTTATATTATTTTGGGTCGCAGTTCGCTTTTGGACACTTATCCGAATCGTTTTCATTTTTACAAAGAATTATATATAGTTATACATTACACTCTATAAGCAATATGCGAACTTGTAAATTTAACACTGCAATGCTTACATGACCAACTCTTTGATCTCCTTAGATTTTTTCCTTGAGTTGCACCAATAAGATTAACTTTATTGAGTAATGACTTTAATTTTGCATCCTCTTGTAATTGATCTTCTTGTATGTATTTTTTCATGGTTGGCTAGTGTTATCTTCTTCCATTACTTTAATATGTTCAATTTCTTGTTTATTAGCAGAATCATTTAAATTCTAAATATTAATTCTGGACTGTTCTTCAACTTGAGAAAAATCTTGTTCATCTCTCTTCATTTTTCCAAAAGCCATTTTTTTTAAATAATAAAAATTCAATAAAGTAGAGAGATGATGAATGAAGATTTGGGCAGCAAAGAGAGACAGTACAAAGCAGTAATTGGAGTAAAAATTTGAAAATATATATAGGACTTTGTAGACATGCATAAGGCAGCTGCCTAAAATTAATATAACCTAAGTATTGTTTTGACTTTTTTATCCAAAGTGTGTTATCAAGTCATATAAAATAGAGGGCTTTTTTCGTCTTTTCACCAAAACTAATGCCCTAGTAATACCCACTAGGGTATTAGTAGTCTACCAGATCACGTTTCGTGAGTTGGTACCAATCAATAGAGAGAGAAAGAGAGAGATGCGATGTGAACTAAGTCGACGAAATGAGAGAGATCTTCAACAATGAATCTCAAAGCAATCTACGATGGGAACCAAGCCAATTGTACTATGGCAAGCAATCTGCTATGGGAAGCACTGTTCGCAGGCGAATGTCGATCGAGGCATACAAATGTGATCCATAGCATTTTTTTATGCAGTAATCCGACTAGCTACGTGGGATCCATCGGGTATGTAACCTAATCTTCACTCAATTTGGTATTGGGGTTAGGGATTAGAATTAATTGCCATTCTATTGTAAATTTCTACTTAATCTGTGCAATTTTTGAAATTTGCAATGATTTAGTTTGATATGGGGTTAGGGCTTATGTTGGGGATTTGGGTTTTGAACTTTTGATTTAGTGATTGGATAGAATTTGGGGTCGGTGATATAAGCGATCTAGGTTGCGAACGACCCACGTATGGGGTTGTGCAACCTAGATCGAGGTTTGTAGATCTTCATATGTTTTTTGGTAACTCTGGTTCAAGTACACCGTTTGAATTTAGCTTTGCTTTGTAAACCCATTTGTAACTAATGCCATTCATATCCAAACGAGATGGTACAATAGTCCAAATTTTATTGGCAGCAAGGGCAACCATTTCTTCATCTGTGGTTGCCAACCAATTAGGATGTCGTTTGCCCATGATAATAGAGTAAGGTTCTAGTGGTATATTGTCATAAGCTCAAGTTACAATAAAATTGAGATATTTGGAATTAGGTTTGTGAACTTCAATTTGTGATTGAGTAATCATTTAGCATTGTGGTGGAAGGTGATCGCTAGTTGTTTTCCCCACCGAGGAGGAAGGATCTCCCATTGGTGGGTTAGGTTCCATCACTTTAGAGATAAAAAATGCTAGTTGACCAGTAGCAGATTGGGTAAGAGAGAAAGTGATCCAACTACGGCAAAGTAGGACACCATGGGTTGTGCTAGTGCGAATGAAAGTTGCAGATGTTGACAATGGAGTATTATGGACAATGAAGAAGTGAAAGAGGGAGATGCTTCCGAGTTGGTGAATGTGCAAAGTTCACTATCAAAAACATTGGAGCCATAAAGCTGAGGAGGCTTAGAGAATGGGATAATGGTTTCGTGCAAGACGATATGTTGGGAAATATCTATATAATAAAACACCTAGTGCACATATATATATATGCGACCTGTGGGTGGATACAAACATTTGTAGCCTTTGTTTCAGGTACTATATTCAAGAAAAATACAAGTGATTTTGGCGCCAACTTGTTAGACTGATATTCACCAAGGTCAGGAAAACATTTGCACTGTAATGCCCGTAACATAACATAATTAGAATGCTTTCCATTGAATTGAAAGAATGAAGAATCCATGCTGAGATGTGGTGAAGGTAACTAATTTATCAGGAAAATAGTCGTAGAGAAACAGTCCACCCAATAGTGAGGAGGGGGTTGAGCATGGAACATCATTGTGAGACCAAATTTGGTGATACTTCGATGTTTACACTCAACTTTCCATTTTGTTCAAGTGTTTTTGAACATGTAAATTGATGATGATTTCTTTGGTTGCCAAGTATTGTTTAAATTCATTGTTGTCAAATTCTCCACCTTCATCACTTTGGAATCACTGCTTTTGTCATCGAAGTGACACTGAATATACTTGATAAAATGATCAAAACAATAAAAAAAGTGCAGACTTATAGGAAAAAAGATGTGAAGTTTGTGAAGTTGTTGATAAAAATAGCATAGTTCCAAAATTGTTCTCTAGTTTTATGGGATATGGTCCCCATCTGCATTCTTATAGAATGCAGATGTTATTTCACTATCAACTGGTGAAAAAAGTAGTCGACATGACTGGCGCATTTGACAACTAAACTTACGAATTCTTAAATTTGAAATCAAATGCAATAAATTTCTTAAGAGTGCAAATGATCAATGAGCCATTGATGTGGATGCCCAAGATGTGGATGCTAACAATTATTATCAACTTTGTGAAAACGGTGATGTAGAACCAGAATAGTATTTTTTTTTATTTTGATGTTGGCCGAATGTTGTGATAAGCCTCAGAGTTAGTGGGCCTTGGTTGGCCCAATTACTGGTAGTTTGGTAGAAGTTTCTAGTAATATATTAATATAAATAGTTGAGAGTTGATTGAGATATTTGAAATTTGAAAATGTATTTAATTAAACAGTTGAGGGATGGCAAAAGTATCAATGTAAATAGTTGGAGGATGTATTAAATGAGGTAGGTAGAAGATTGTAGGAGCCTTTCTTGAGCCTATATAAAGGGCCCTTGTGTAACCTTTTGAGGCATTTAAGTTTGAAAATAATAACATTTATGGAGAGTTCTTCTCTTATTCTCTGTGGGGATTCAGAGTGTGTTCTTAACACTAGGAAACTATGATTTCCTCTTGTTCTTTTGTTCACCGCGTATAGCAATGAGAGAAGAGAGCTATTGGAATGCTGTCAAGAGCATTTAGACCATCACGTTTACTCCCTTTTGCTACTATCTGATTGGTTTTCAGGTCCTTGAGCACAAAACCAATGACATCAAATGTAAAAACAAGAGGACAATCAATAGTAAGCTTACTAATGGCTATCAAATCTTTCTTGGTTTCTAGAACGAGTAAAACATTATTTAATTTAATAGAAGAATGACTAGTTAATGAGGTTTTGTGTCACAGGATAGGGGTATTTAGCATGTGGTATGGAAGAGGGAGAAGAGGTGGATGTTGTTTGGCTAGAGGTGGTTGACATTGGAAAAAAAAAAAATCAGAAAAAAGACTCTCTCTTATCTTACCGGTGTAGGCTCTGATTCCATAAAGACTCTTTTAGACATGGTGTGATAAGTGAGAGCCATTATATTGCATTTATAGAGTTTGTTGCCTAATGTATTTGCGCATTCTACTGGGTATGTACAACAACAAAGTCGTGGTAAAAAAGGTGATAAGGATAAGAAGCGATGCTATCTATCCATTAAGCTACAAGAGATGCAGAAATGAGAATTTTAATATGGATATGGGGTGAAACGAGAAATGATATAATTAGAAATGAGTATATTTATAAAGCCCTAGAAGTAGCACCGATAAATTAAGTTAGAATCGACTTAGGTGATTTGGACATGTTTATAGAAGACCTAATAATACGCCAGTAAAGAAGAGTGATTTGATACTTATCAATGGTAATGCGGGAGGTAGAGGTAGACATAAAATAACTGTGAACGAAATAATTATAAAGGATATGATAGCTTATGATCTAACAAAACATATGGCTCTTGATAGAGTGGAATGGAAAAATGGGATTAATGTAGCCGACCCCAAATAGTTGGGATTAAGGCTTTAGTGAGTTAAGTCACCAATGAATTGAAACCAATTATAAGGTTTGTATTTAGAGAACGTCATGATAATCACAGGAATATAACCAAACCTATAGGCAACAACGACAGTGTAAAGTCCAGTTTAAATATCGAGAGGAGCATTCTGCTGGTCTCAAAACTCAGAGATTGGCATTAATTCCCCCAAATTTAGAAAGGGGAATATCAAAATGGTGCATTCACTGTTTGCTTGGAGCCTAATGTGAGAAAGCAGAATGCAATTTCAAAATGGCGCTGCACAATGGAATCCATGAGACAGAGTGATTTTTGTTTTGTGATCTTTTTTCCTTTGAATCTTCCCAGTTTGGAGCATTTTTTTGGTATGAAGTCGAACCTTGGTTCTATTGCATTGATGGAAGAGGAAATAATCACAAATCAATGTTTGAATTTGTTGAGATAAATAAGTTGAAAGAAATTGAAGTCAGACTAAGTTTTCTTAGCTTCATTAAGTTGACAAGCGATTATTGTTATGAGGAAATTTAATTACACAAGTAGCCAGTACATCGATTATTTCATTGCAATCTGCATTCAAACTCAACAAAGCCTTTTTCCCAACTCTCTAGGGCCACCTATGTGAATCTTGTTTCTTCATTGTGCTCTATTAGGTGCCATATTGTTAGTTAAACCATAAGCAATTAATATGCTTTCCCTGAGCCTTCTAGAATTGTGAGAAATTATTTTCTGAGAACCAACATGTGTTTCACTTTTTTTTTTTGGTTCTCGTCAATTGACATATGTTCTGTAAGATCTATATTCAACACGACACAACCTTGCCCTAACTATTCTATGTGAGAATGTAGAAAACCCAAATGCTGCATGAGAAACTTGGAAACATTTTTCATTTGTGGTGGCAAACTTGGGGCTTCATGACTATTTGAAGTTCATGTTGTCTTTTTTAATTATCAAGATGCTGAATTTAATTTTGAACTAAATGATTATTATTTTATCCATGGCACCATGCATACTGAACTACTTTGTAATTTTATTATGCGGCGTCGAATGAATTGAATCCCTTGTTTTCTTCTGCCATATAGATCTTTACTGCAGGTCATATTTTTCATCCACATGTTGCACAAGAACCGAGTTCATCAGCCCGTGGGATGATTCAAGAGCCCATAATTCCCTGGCATTCAAACAACTTGAGCCATACTGAGCTGGGAAGTTCTTTTTTATCTCTCCTTTCTGGACCACCATCATTGTTGCAATGTGATTTACAGGACCTGTCAAATCCGAAGTCATTCAGCACCTCTAGTAAAGTTCCAGTAAATAGCAGCAGTGTCATAGTTAGTGCTGCTGGAAGTGGGGTTTCAGTGGCTCCTAACGGGCTATTATCACAAAATCTTTACAATCGGAACTTGAAAGCTGGAATAGATCTTTGTCCAGTTGTTTCATCCAGAGCAGCGGCGACTGGGAGTTGTCGCAGTGCTTCTGGTATGCACGATGTACTTCAGGCAGCAAATTTAGATGTTCAGAAATCAGAACTTGCTAAGGCAGGCTTTCGTCTGAATGTTCTTGCCAGTGAGAAAGCAAAGGGTTATTCTTTCCCAAATGGGGCATTGTTTACCAGTTCTAGCCCAGCTAATGTTGAGAAGCACCATGGCAACAATGTACAAGAATCGCAAAACGTACCATCAAAATACAACTCTTCTGGTTTTCATCAGTCATCTTCTCTTACTAGTGGCTGCCCTCGTGTGTTTTGTTTGGGTGCAAGTGAGTACTTAAGCCTGCATCCTTATCAGTAGTACTGATGTTCATATTGCATAATATGTTCTTCAGATCTAATAAGTAGGTTTTGATTATTTTCAAAAGTTAGTCTCCACTTTTAGTGAGTAGTTTTTTATTATTTTGGAAAGGTGGGGATTTGCTTCTCAGCAATACTGGACTTCTTGGTGTGGTTTGCTCATGTCATGGTTTGCATATGTCCCTCTCCAAATTTTCCAAGGTAATTCTCTATTTGGCTTCAATAACTTTTAAATTCCAAGAATTCTTTATTGTGCGACACCTTAGCACATCTGTGAATGTGAGGTTCTTTGAAAATTTATCCTAACTGCAATTATTCTACAGCATGCTGGCTTACGTGATGTTAACCCTGGGAATACAGTTCACGTGGACAGTGGAGAAACTGTAGCGCAGTGGCGAAAGATTTATTTCCATAAGTTTGGGGTACGGTGTAATTGAGGTTTTTTATTTTCATTTTGTTGCAACACCTAAAATTTGATGCTCCATGATAAATGATTTTGTTGTTGTGTGCATTCACAAGACTAATCTGGGCTCTGATTTCCTTTAGCAGATGTCAAGAAATGTATTCACACCCCAAACCCTCAAAAAAAAAAGAGAAAAGAGAAAAGAGAAAAGAAAATGAAAAACGAAAATAAAAAAGAGGAACTTGTATTTGCTTGCACCTCCACTCGAAAAAAAAAGGAAATAGTTGTTAGTTTTTGGTGCCTCTGTCCTTTAAATATATTAACCTCGTAGATGTAACACTGCTCCTTCTGCACCCCCCTCCAACCAAAGTTCATGCTGGCACGTAGACAGAAATCTTGGGAACTGACATGTAACAACTAAGAGGATGCTAAAGTCAAAATTGTTATGTTTGTTTGAGCATCCAACCCAAACTAATTGGCAGTGGGTAGAATGGCTTCTCAAGTATATAAACCAAACTGGTGGTCCTAATTATTCGATGTAGGATACAAACTTTCTTAACACCCTCCCTCGAGTGGGACCTGGACTTGCATGTAGGTCAACAAACAAACAAACAACCATTCATACCGGAAAATTCAAATGGGTAAGAGACTTGACCCACTAACTAATCAAGACCCAGCTCTGACACCATTTTAGTGCATCAACCCAAAACCAACTGGCAGTGGTTGGAGTGGCCCTTAAGGATATAACCCAACATTGGTAGTCTTAATTATTCGATGTGGGATACAGACTCTCTTCACAAGGTTGTACTGGAAGGCTCTCATTTCCTGCTCTATTGGCATAGCTGGAAATTTTTATTGTTTTGGAGCTAAACTTAACAACTGTTTTTTATTTGGGAACTTTGTTTCTTTCAATGTTGAGTTGGAAAGTAGTTGTGTTAATGGATTTGCACTCACAAAATAATGATGTTGCTGTCTAATACTGTCTAGGTGCCAAATTATCTAATCCTGAATATAGCTAGGCTTGTTGCGTGTTTCCTGAATTGAATTTGTCAACAATGGATGCCTGTTCCAGGAAAGAGTCTAATGACACAAGATTGTACGAGTATAACTGGATGATTATATAATGAAGTAGCCTTTTGCAGAAGCAGTGGTGGCATACACGGATTAGATTCAGAGGACGTGTGTGCTTTAAAGTTATATGTATTCCATGATTGCTAATATATTTCACTAGCTCGGATTTTGTTTTTCCATCTTTGGAATTTGAAAACTGTATTTCTTATTGGCATGTATTTGAAGCACCGAGAACACTGGGTGGTGATGTTTTTATCATGCTTTAGATTAGGGTTCCAGAAGATCACAGCGGATGGGACTGGCCGGAAGGAATATCAGAAAATGCTGAATCAGGGCGACACAGTGCGACAATGCTCAACATGTGTAAAAATTCTGACCTTCCTAATCAGGCTGGTCTCTTTGGGGCTTTACTAGGGTCTGGAGAGCCATGGAGAAATGTTGCATCTCAAAAGAACTCTCTTAGTGGGCAGAGATTGGTTAATGAGGTTCTGTATACTGAAAAACAGAGGACTGCTCAGGATAGTTGCAATTTTCTTTCCAAGAACTTCACTGGCATGTCACAGTTCGATTTGCATACTGCAGCAGATACCTCAATCATAGGGTCTCCTCTGCCTGGGTATTCGGCAATGTCAAAGTTAGTTAGTATGAGAGGCCCTGAAAATGGTTATCATTCCATTGCTGCTTACACTGATTCAAACCCAAAAAGTGGGAATTCATTCATTTCCCTCCCAAAATTGCGGAACTTGAAACTCCCTTGTGAAGTTTCTGATGTCGGCAGAGTTAACAGTTCATTTCTGGACAGAGATACTGTTCCCTCGCACATTGAGTTGAGACTTGGGCAACCATCTCAGCAGAGTCAGACATTTGGAAGTCCAATTTTACAAGCTTTCGGAACTCATTCGATTGACACAAATGGGGATTCTCAGAAATCACTTTTCCCAGAGCAGCTGATGCCTAAAAGTGTGTTCAACACTGTTTTCTGAACTACTTTTATGTACCATAATGTTTTTTCATAATAGAATGTTCCCTTTCCTGCCTCTTCAATAAGTTTTTGTCTGGAAGCCTCTGTTTAAGTGACTATTCCTCATCTTTCTGGTGTAGCAGGCAATACCAGGGTAATGGCGGAAGGCAGGCAATATCTTCAATGTCCCATTGGAACATCAAATCCCAGTGCAAGAAGAGAACAAAGCCCCCTGAACCTTGTGAACTATGCATCTAGAGTTCATAACCCTATAGATGCTTCCGAGACAGAACAATTTAAAGGTGATGCAGCTAGGGGTTCATTGATTTCAATGTTACTTCCATGTTTAAAAAGGCCTGCTGAAGGAAAAATTCATTCTAAAGCTACTAATAATGTTACTGATGCAAGCCATGCTATGTCTGGGAAGCTACATTGTGGATCTATTGCCAATTGTGGCCCCATTAGTTTTCCATGGATTAGAGATGATAGAACAGGAATGCAATCTGATGTTAATGTATATGATACTAACAAATATATGAATAAGGGCAAAGGAGTAGGTTGTGATCCTGATGGCTTGCACCTCAAAACTGAAACAAACTTTATAATTCAGAAAAGGCACAAGGAAATCCTCAAATCTTCTAGTGGAGTGGCCGATGCACCAGGTCATCACAATTGTTCAGTGGTACATGACAACAACCTTCATTTGTGCCATTTTTCTGGCATGCCAACTGATACATTTGATGCCAGGAATAGCTTCAACTGCCCTGGAAACTTTGGACGCAAAGGAAATTTCCATCATGGTTTTCCTAGATCTGTCGGTTTGCCCTTGGATTCAGGACCAATTTTGCCTTTGCAAGCAGCCTCAATGAGGCTTTCCTCTACGAATTCGATTTCTCTTCCAGATCCAACTCCCGCATTGTCAAACAAAGGGGGGATTAGTGTAAACTCATGCATGCTGGATGAGAATTTGAGAACGCTTGCATTGAGGCATGTGTTGTCTAACCAAGATCATGCCATTGCATCTCTTGGAAACAACCAAGAGAAAGGGAGATTCAGTAACTCTTGTGTAGAGAGAAAACAAGGCGCTGATACATCAACATTAAAAGTACAAGGACAGGGACCCATTCTTTCCATTAAACGAGATGCTTCTGAGGTTGCCAAGAAATCTCTTCAATCTGGTGCTACTTATTGGACAGGTGGTTATAGTGATAAATTAGCTCCTGTTGCAGGTAAATGTGCTGTGTGTTTCCTTATAGGATGAAAATGTATTAAATATTTATGCTCATGATTTCCTTTGCTGTTGTAGTAAGTAATGTTTATGATAGCTTTTTGCTTATATAGATGCGAATAAGTGGTCCGATTTCTCAACATTCTTTCAAGGAACATCTTTGCATGCTAAAGACGTTGACATGCTGTGCCAACACTCACGTGACCCTCATTCAAATGATCAGCCTTTGTTAAGGTGACTTCATATGGCTTACTTGTCTTAAAAGTGTAGACTTTAAGTTTTTTTTTATTTCATTTTATAATGTTAAAGATTTGGTCCTGTAATTGTAGGTTCTTATCTTGTCTGTGAAATTTACCCTTTTAGGATACTCACTTGAGAATATGTAGCTGAGTCTGATATTTATGCAGCAGTATATTGAAAATTTTGTGTCAGTTTTATCGTATTCTTTAATGATGGTTTTATCCGAATGTGGTTGCCATAGGGACTTGGGAATGCCCATGATGAAAATTTAGGTGGCTGCTGACAAGTAAAGAGTGTATTGGAGAAACTAATTAACTTCTTGTCTTAATAAAAATCGTGTGGCTACTGGAGGAAATGAAGAGATGCAAGGGGTTTACTATCTCATATTTTTCTTTGGTTAAGTATTATGAAAGTTAAGATTCTCCATAAGTAAGCTACAATAAAGTGAAAGAGTGTGGATATTTTCTTTTGACCCTCTGTTGACAATTTAATGATCTTGTGTCCTTGAAACTAAGTTTCAATTTGTTGCTTTTAGTTTTAGTGCTGGGTGTTGGGGTTAGGGAAGCTCCTCTTCATCTGCTGTCTTTCTTTTGGAGGAAGATTTTGAACTTTTTTATTTTTATTTTGAAGATGTTGATCATGCATTTTTTTTTTTGTTTTCTATTTTTCAAGTTCTTAGTCTTGTTATCCTTTTGATTCTTGGATGGTCTTTCTTTGGATATTTATTTACTAACAGGCCAATAGGTGGCTTCATATTCCTAGTGTGCACTTGGTTTATCATTGTCTTCTCATTAGGAGTGTCAATCGTGTCATGTCGCGTCAATTTCAGTCGTGTAATTTTCGGATTGTGTCATTTTCGGTATGTGTCATGCTTTGTCGATAATTTTTTTTTGCAACATCTCATATAATAGTATGTAAAAAAAATATAAAATATATTTTTTTCTGCCTTTGTTACCCATTAATCGTGTTGTTGTGCCTAACCTTATTTTGACCCGTGTCGATCGGTCGTGTTATTTTCGGGTTTTGTATCATGCTGGATTCATGTCGGGTAAAATTGACACCCCTACATCTCTTAGTCAGTTGTGAAAAAAGGTTTCAAGATGCTTTGTTCCCCTATAAACTAAGTTTTTTTTACCTCCGAAGGAATCTACTGACCATTGAAGTTTGCTTGTACCTAAGGATTTTGTATCGAATTGTATAACAGCGGTCTGGTTTCTTCCCTTAATGAGTTCTCCAACAGTACATGGATGTACACACACAATGTATGGGTACCTTTTTTCTTTTGTTATTCATGAATTAAGACTTTGCGTAAACTAAATTCAACTTCATGAGCTGCTTAGGTCAAAAACTTTGCTTTGATGGTGGAGGTTAAGTATATAGTATAAGCCTTACTTTGCATTTTATTCTCATGGCAAACATGAAATGTGTTTTTGGAATCCATGGCAAATTGACTTTGTTTTAGATAATAATCATCCTTTTTTGTAATTTTACTTTGTGTGATTGATCATTATCTTCTGGTAGTTGCTTCATTCATGTCATCTTCAATGCATGTCCCACAGTTTTGTTGAGGGGGTGCAATTTTCTTGGTAAGATATGTTAGAGTGAATACAAGTGATATTATTGGACAAATGGAAATTAACCCATGGGGCCTTGAGCCTAGAGTGTACTAGAACGCCCGGGTTTGCGGGCTTTATGTGTGCTACTTTGGAGGGGCCCCAGCAGATGTAGAGAAAAAAAGGAAGGAGTAGATGGTGACATGTTTGAACGGGGACTCCTTGTAGATGGCTGGACACAAATTGCATCTAAGCTCCGGATTGTTTGGGGAGATGTAGGAAAGGAAGCCCCAGGAAAAAAGAGGGTGGACGGGGTGGATATTTTGCAGCAGTGAAAACTACTTTCTTTATTTCCATAGCCTGCCTAAATTTGGCAGGATATCTTTACCGTGGATAGATTCTAAGTATTTGAATGTGTATTGTGTGATGATTGTGAAGTTTATGCTTTTCCTTTTTTGTCCAGATGCACGAATATGCTCTGAAATTCACTGTGTTCAAGTGATTCTCATTTTAATTTTCTTTTAAAATATCAGACTTGGGAGGTGTGAGAACAGCAATGTTCCATCAAATGAGCATGGGAAATGCTGTCAGAGATTACCGTATACATTTTTTCCAGGGAAGTGCAGTTGTGTTGCTCAGACTAATTATCTAGCTGGAAATTGTGGGTTCAAAGGTGAAACATCCCTTAGTGCCCCTAGAGAGGATGCAGGAAGTGTTGGTGGCAGGGCCTCAACTTTTTTTACTTCTAAACATCATGAAAACAACATTTTACTGAAGGAGAAAGCTAATACTGTTGGTCAAACTGGCGAACCAAATCATCAGAACCATAAAGAAGTTGAGTGTCATGCTTTTCAGTGGAGAGATGTGCCAAGAAAGGTGACAGGGATGTGCACTGCAACATGTAAAGACCAACCAGCCGATTTTCTGAATGGGAGGGAAAAGGCTGAGGATGAAATCGTTGCTACTGCTGCTGCTAAATATAACAGATATGTTCAGGATGCTAAATCCTTGAAGGAGCAAGAAGTGTCGAATATTTCTTCTGGGGGTTCTGCCCCTGCTGTTACTCAGGCATCTACTGAAGTTAACAAGGATTCTTGTGCTCTTGATGCTGGGAACACTATATGTGCAAACAGTTATGTTGTGGATGAAGGATCAGGAATTGATAGATGCTGGTCATCTGATGATGGACCTGACAGTGAAAGAAGTGCTGAATTCCTTGGTGTTACCTGTAATATGAACCCGATGAATAAAAGATCCTCTAAAGCATTTGCTAAGCAATCGTCTCGTAGTCTCATTGACGAACTAAGGCTCAGAGATTCATTAAGGGCAAATAAAGTACGAAATCGAATCATTAATGGCTTCACCATTCATGAAAAGACAAATCTCGTGCAAAAACATCAGGGAATCTCCAAAACTGGGAGGAGAAAAAGGGGAGTAAAATGGAAAAAGTTAGATGCATCCTTCCTGGACTCTGGCCTGTATTCTGCTCATAATGAATCGCCAACAGGTATAGGGAATGGTGAGCGGCAATCCCATTCATCTGGGGACATTCAGATGATACTTCAACCTAATCGTGAAAGATCTCATAATTCTTGTTCCATTGGACCTAGTTTAAAACGCAAAATATCTGCGTTGTCTTCTTGTTCCAAAATCATGTCTCAGAAAAGAGATCTAAATAGACTTGATTATCAGAGAGAGGGAGCAATTAATTCAGAGACACATTTGAGGATCAATGATAATTGTCTAGAAATCTCTGGAGCCTCGGCCAGAAAAAGGTTAAGATTGGATCGAGCAGCTCCAAATGTTAAGAAGGTCTGGAGGCAAGAACCACATTGTAACCATGCTGAAATGACTGTGAAGAGGAGTTTAGTGGATTACATGATGACTTCTTCCAGTCAGACTGTGACTGCTTGTTTAACGAAGGCAAGGCCTGTAGCATGTGGGAAGTATGGTGTTATTTCTAATGGTAATTCATCAAAGCCCGTGAAGATCGTTTCTCTCACAAGGATTCTTAAATCTGCCAGAAAAAGTACCTGGGCCGAAAATGACAGGTTGAAATTAACAACAACAAAGGGGTTGAAGAAGATAAGCATTAGAAGAAGCAATGGATGTGCAGAATCTAATGAATTTGATCCTGGCATTTCTTTGGAGGAAACAGAGGTACCATGCTCTCCTAGTGCTACAGAATGTGATGATACATCAGATATGCTGGAGAAAGGAAGGTATGACGCACATGAGAAAAGTCATAGTATTCCAGGTAGTTGTCCTAGCACTCGTTTGAAGCCAAAATATAAGGAAGTTCGCAAGCGCAGCCTTTATGAACTAACAGCAAAAGGTAAACTACTAGTAGTGACTTCTTGTTTACGTTTGAAGAAAGGCACAATTCGTCTCTAACAATTAAAGCATCATGTACAAGTAGTAGTTGTTTTCTTAATTTACATTGAAAATTCTTATTTTGTGGAGTTTGGTTTTTCCCCTTGCTTCTTCTGTAGGGTGCACTGAAATCTCTCTCCTGCCTGCTTTCATGCTTTCCTTTTTAATAAGTTTTGTCGATATATTTTTCCAGGTTAAAAAACCTGTCAATCACCCGGTCTGAAATTTGGTCGAGTGTATAGTGTTGATTAAAGGGGAAGAGGGCTCTCTTGCTTCCATAGTGCCCAATTTGAGTCCATCTTTTGATTTGTTTCTTCTAATGATTAAATAAGCTTAAGATCAGTGCAACATCTGAGCTGGTTTTGAAGTTACAGGAAAGTTGATTGTGCTCCTTTTAAGTACATATAGGTACCGTGGATGTATGTCTAGAATTCATGTTCTGTACTGATTTGAAGTATTTTAGGCCATAATGCAAACTTCATAGCTCATATCATGGATTATTGGCGCCTCATAAGTGGACAGCGAACATGAGACCAGTTCCTTCATAGTGGGTCCAATATTGCCAAGGCATAAGTCTTACTTCCTTTCCTTAGATATCCATGATGCATCAGTGTTGGTGCAAACTAGTATGCTAAGGTGCAAAATGTTTGATCAAGAAAGTGCTCAAATGTCATAATCTCTGGAATCTACTTTATGCATGTGAACTGAAAGAAAGCTAACACCTGGTAATGGGCAATGCTGAGATTCACAGCAGTGGGTTTATTATTTCATCCGCCTCAGTCCTATTGGATATCATGTTGGGAACCTAGGTCAAGTGGTAGCGCAAACAGACCATCAGCTACACTTAATGGCGTTTCAATGCCCGAATTGGTTATTTATTGCTTTCACTTGTTTTCGAATGATTTATCAGAAATTAGAATGCTTGGAAGACAAAATGTCTCTCTTGCATACTTTGCCTATTTGTATTAAAAAAGTTAATTGTACCTTATTTTGGTAGAGTTATATGATTGTTGGCCTGTTTAAACTTTACACTTTTGTGACATCGTTTATACTTTCCTGTGCTTAGGGAAGGCGTCCAATGTTGCAAATTTTTCAGCGGCGAAAAAATCAAAATATTTACCGCAACCAAAATGCAATTATTTGGGGAAGTTTATAACTAATGCTCAAGATGGTACGAGTCATGCAAGTGAGCTGTGCAATACTAACACGTAATTCTTCTGTACTCATTGATTAAAATTTTTTATCATAGAAGAATGTATTTGCAAGTGAACAAATTGAGAAAGAGAAGGGACTAATCATCATGGGATGTGGTTCAGATCCACCAACGAGCATTGTTGCCAGTATGCTTCAGATCTGGATGCATTTTGTTGCGTCTGTGGAAGTTCAAACAAAGATGAAATTAACTGCTTGTTGGAGTGCAATCAATGCTTCATTAGGGTATCTTTGTTTAGCTTGAGTTTTTTTTTTTTTTAAATATCTCTTTTTAGTTGTTCAAACCTGATTAGCTTATATGAACAGGTGCATCAGGCTTGCTATGGTGTTTCCAAAGTACCTAAAGTTCATTGGTATTGCAGGCCATGCAGGACAAGTTCCAAAAATATTGTAAGAACTTGGATGATCTACTTATCAGAAGTTCTTGCTCTTACATATATGCTTTGGCATGCTTTATCTTATTCTTATATTAGACTTGCCCCCTCGAACCCTTTTTAAACAGGGAAAAAAAATGAGACTTGTTAATGTACTGTATTTTCACTGGAATTTTGTATCCCGTACATGGATGATGATGTTTTTGGTTTGTCAAGTCTAGCCCAACCCCGCAGTTGAGAACATGCTTTCTGTCACGTTTTCACTGGTATATTATATATGTTCTTTCTAATTACGGCCAATAATATCTTCTGATATTCCTAGTATGCACAATTGCTATGTTTTTTTTTCCAGTATTTGCATCTTGCAGTTGCTTGATATGCTTCAGTCATTGAAATCTGCTGTCGTCTAGGTTTGTGTTCTCTGTGGCTATGGAGGGGGGGCTATGACTCGGGCACTGCGGAGTCGCAACATTGTGAAAAGCCTTTTGAAAGCTTGGAATTTTGTTACAGAATCTGTTCCTAAGAATCCGACTTCTCATTATGAAGCTGTGGAGGGTGAGTTGAACATGTTGACTTCCTCGAGGTCTGGACTTGAAAACGATACATTTCCTGTTATCAGACCCACACATATGGAGTCATCTCCAGCAACTGTGTGGAAAGTGGACCTGCCGAAGCCATGGGACTCTGAACAAAATTCATATCGTTCTCCTAGTAACTCAGTGTTGCACAACAGTATAACAGCTGGAGTTCTTGACCCAACTGTTAAGCAATGGGTTCATATGGTTTGTGGACTTTGGACACCGGAAACACGTTGCCCAAATGTTGACACCATGAGTGCTTTTGATGTATCTGGTGCTCGTCCTAAAGCATATGTGGTGAGGATTGAAAAATGATTGAACACAAGTTTTATGTATTTATATGTTCAATGGCACATTCTAAGAAGAAAAATATAAATGGGCAGGATTTCTTAATTTGTCATTTTCAATTTCCTAAATTTGAAGAAGATGGCAAAATTTGCTCTTAGCTCCTCAAATTTAATAATTGTGAATTTAATAAATGTTCGTTGCATTATTTTTTTCCCAGGTTTGCTCAATATGTGACCGAGCAGGTGGTTCTTGCATACAGTGCAGGGTTGTGGATTGCTCTGTCCAGTTTCATCCGTGGTGTGCCCATCAGAAGGTTTCTCCTAATTTTAAAAGTTAACACAATTGAGATGCCAAGCTTTATAAAATATAGGCATGAGGCCAACATGAACATTGTCAATGAACTCTGCTAAAAGTTTCGGCCCAGGCATTAGCTGTATTATAATGGTTTTTTCTCGTTACCTGCATTGAATACCTTAACTAATCAATCACTCTGCAAGGCTTGCTACATTTTGGGGACTTTTTGGAAAGCTTGAGAATATTCAAGCCCACCCAAAGCAAGCTCACATGGAGAGTAGTCTAACCTGACAACGGCATAGAGGGAGTTTCATATTCCCTGCGGCAGTTCTGCTTGATTGCCTGCTGAAGGGTTTAATGATTGAGGCTGATAACAAGACTTTTTCTAGACCAACACAACCAGCACAATGGTAGTTTTTGGACGATATAAGAAACTAATCTGGGAATTGCTCTGAAGATAGCTAAACAGTCCCTTATCTAGGCCTTTTGGCAAATATTATCCTCAAATTCCAGTGATATTGCCCTTACTTATTCCTCAAGACAGAATAAGTTGCTTGCTATTTTTAGATGTATAGTGATCATTTCTGCCGATATTGATTTCTTTTTCATCATCATTGCTAAGACAATTATTGTTGCAGCTGATTTGCTCACTAAGTTGTATTGGTAGCAGGGGCTGCTGCAAAGTGAGGTTGAAGGTGTTGATAATGAGAATGTTGGTTTTTATGGAAGATGTATGCATCATGCCTCAGTCCAGCAGTGTAATCCCAATGGTGATCCTTTTGACTCTGAAAATGTTAATCCTGGAGAAAAAGAGTTTACCTGTGCTCGAACAGAGGTGATTATTCTTTGGCTGAAGTGAGGTGCATCAGGATGCCAGAGAACCAATATTTCTATATTGTAATACTCCTTTGGATTTCAACAGGGTTACAAAGGTCGCAAACGGGAAGGCTTTCGGCATAATTTTCCTCATCAATCCAATGGCAGTCGTGGATGCTTTGTTCCACCAGAGCAGTTAAATGCATGGCTCCATATTATTGGGCAAAAGTCAGGCATAAAAGGAGTGTCTAAGCTGGAAACTTCAGAGGTTGAGTACGATTGTCGGGTATATCCAAGTCACTTAGATGAAATTTAAGTATATTAGTTAGGGGATTATTGATGCTTAAGTGACTACAACTAATGCAATTTGTTAGTGGTAATTTTATCTGTGTTTATGATCAAAATCCCAAAGACAGTCTTGAAGTTTCTCATGACTTGCAAGGGGGAAAAGAAAAGTAAAATGAAAGTTCCTTCTTAGCCTTGCTATATCTGATCTAGTATTTTGGATTATTTTATTGCATGCAGAAACAATATGCTCGGTATAAACATTCAAAAGGTTGGAAGCATTTGGTGGTATACAAATCAGGCATACATGCTCTTGGACTTTACACATCTCGGTTTATATCTCGTGGAGCAATGGTTTATCCTCTTTGTCCTATGAGCTGTGCCGATCCATTTTTTGTTATGGTGAGGAAATTATATTTGTGTTTTTTTTTGTAGGTTGTTGAGTATGTCGGTGAGATAGTAGGGCTCCGTGTGGCTGATAAACGAGAAAGCGAGTATCAGTCTGGAAGAAAATTGCAATACAAGAGTGCATGCTATTTTTTTAGGATTGATAAAGAGCATATCATTGATGCCACTCAGAAGGGCGGGATTGCTCGATTTGTTAACCATTCATGCCTGGTGATTATCTTTCTTCCAATCTACTCTTAATCTTTTTAGTAAAATTTTATATGGTGTTAAAAAACATATGCTCTCATGCCAATATATGATGGATTAAACACCTAATTTTTCTTTTTTGGTGGATTGGGCATAGTTGTTCAAGTTACCACTGTAGATTAATCTTCAGCTTGTCGAGGTTGGTTTGCCTGGGCACCTGCTCATAATTAGCGATTCATAATTAGCCATCATTCGTAGAGAATGCTTAGGACACTTGGAACATATATTTCTGAATGAAATTTAAATGAAGGACACGTAATCAGTATTTGTTTGATGTGTATTGAATTTTTCGGTGTCTCCTGGAATTTTATGGTTACAATTTTTGAAAGCTTTCCCTAATTTAGTCTACTTGGACTAACTTTATCTATTGGTTGTCAATTTGCATGACCAGCCTAACTGTGTTGCAAAAGTAATCTCTCTGAGGAATGAAAAGAAGGTAATGCTACTTTTGCTATATTGCCTTGTATTTTACTTCATATTACTCTATTATTGTTTGGAAGGAAGAATGACATTTTTTGGCTACTATGGCCAATGTTACTTGGGTCATTGGTCGTTTTGGTATGTGATACGGGTATATGGTACGACACTTTCTTAGGTACATGAGACGATGGGGCTAGTTTTAACTGGTACGGTATTTTGGATCGCAATTCGTTTTGGAACTCTTATGTAGACCGTTTTCAATACTATACAACATTATATATTACAGAACATTCATAAACACTAAGTTACTTTTTATCTTATAATTGTGTTTTATTTTTTATTATCTAAAACAATATATAATTATAGATTTATATATATGTAGTCAATTAATATGTATTTCATATTTGTGCTACATGTTCTAAAACGAATTAATTTTCAGTAAGTATTGTAATTTGGGGTCGTTCATTTTGGTGATTTGGATCGCGAACTCACCTCGATTGGGATCAATGTACCCAGATTGTTGGTCGTTAAGGGTTTAGTGTATTGTGGTAATCATGACTATGGCTCTGTTTGCAATTTCTTGTAAACTGAGACCTTTATTTGTTACATTTTGGCACACACCATGGGAAATGAATCCTCCATTATACAACAAATACAGTTTGGTGTTACATCGTACTTGAACACACACCATGGGGAATGAATTCTCCATAATGCAACAAAGACAGTTCGGTGTTGATGCTGCAATTTTTCGCTGATTTTCCTTTTTCTCTTTCTCTTGGGGAGCATGATTTACATTTGTACTCTATCTGCTGGTTTTCCATGCTTGGCACAAATATCTGCGCTTGGTCTGCAAGGAGTCATTTGATGGTTATGGTTTATTCTTTTGTGCCTTGCTAAACAACAATTTTGCGTAAAGCAGTTTTTCCCGATAGTTAACGAGTTGCTCACCCATAGGCATGACATTGGATCAAGTCTCACCGCTGGCATAGTGATTCCCTTCTCCTTTCCTCTTAGGAGTAGGCTAGATTCATCACTGTTAAACAAAAAAATATTCAATTTCAAGAGCCATACTTTCCACTTTTCCCAGTTTTTTAAAAGAGAGTTCTTGGAAGAGAGTGCTCTTATCTCTGCGATGCCTTTCCTTTCTCTTTCTAGTTTTTTAAGTTGTTAGAGATATTAGAAGCTGTTAATGGGAATATCATATTTTCTTATAAAAAATATCTAACCCTTCATGGCTCATTGAAAAGATTGCCCCAAGGGACACAACCTCAGTCAGGCATCAAATAATATTCAAGGAACCACAATTACTATTGTTGTTACTTTTGACAGTCAAGTAACAATTAATATGAATGCCCCCTTTGATATATTGTCTGAATTTTTTTTTTTTTTT